ATATACCGGATATTGATAGTTCCAACAATGATAAATGCGTTTTGCAAACCTTAGCAAATGATGACGGCACATTAAATACAAATAAGAATTGTGAAATTGTTATCGATATCAATCATATAATTCAGAATACCATTAATAACCATATATCTGATATATATACTTCCAATAATGATAAATATGATTTAAATTTCATACCAAATAATGACAATACATCAAACACAAATGAGCTGGCCATTAACAATTATAGGAAGGATGAAAAATCAATTGAACCATTCATAAATGTTACCCAATACAATATCCAAATAACTGATATGAGTGCGCTTGATGATGACATAGTGAGTTGGAGCAGAGAATTTCTTATACCAATCAATGATCTTCCAACCAAACCATCTGATTACATCAGTACATTTAAAAAATTATTTAAATCATCTAAAGCCTACAATAAAAGCAAGAATTTCCAGAATATTAATACCCATATACCTCATATAGATGTTTCCGAAAACGAAGAATCTAGCTTAAACTTCTTGGTCGAGCTAATTGATAACGATATAATTAGCAAATTGACGTTTTTGGGCAAATGGAGTAATCTTGAAAAATCTAATGTACCGGTTGATACCGCGGTTGCATGGAAGGAAGAAGAAAACTGTTACATGAATATCAATACACGTTCTGAGAATAATAAATATAGAAATTGGTTTATGATCGCAACTGATATCGGTACATTTGCAATATATATTAATCCGCCCATATCCAACTTAAGTACAATTATGGGATTGCTAGTACATACCGATTTGAAGATCAAGTGGTATACAGGAAGACCACGAATCAATCTCAGTACATCTATAGTAAATTCTTTTGAAAATAAGAAACATAATACCTATAACTTTTTATTTGTCACAAGAGATGCTGAGGGTGCATTGGAAATAAATACTGCTCCGGCCATACCCGAACCAAAGGAACAGGATCATCTCGAACATTTTGTAGAAAACAAAAGATGGCATTATTCGTTTTTAAAAATCACTAATGAAGGAATGTGTTACATAAATATTGATCCAATTTATAACAGTTCCAGTATGTTTGATGGATTGTTTGTGCCATCGAATTATCATATCTGTTGGAATAAACATTATCCAATTGTTAATATTATCATACCCTCCGATAATAGAGTATCAAAATATTGGTATGGGATATTAGTAAGCACAAATTCTGAAGGTAGAATACAAATAAATGTGCTTCCGTATTATGAATGTATAGGTGCAATCAGACGAAATGAAGGATATAGAATAATCAATACTCACATACCTCCAGGATTTTACTCTAATGCAACTAAAATAATGGTCCATTCTGTTTACCAACACAATCTACCTAGGAGTGGTACACTTGATAAAATAACTGAACCACCAACTGATGATACCATAGAATTGAACGAAAATGAAAATGTTGTTATCGATATTCTCACACCTGAGGATCTCTGTAATAACAACACAAACAAAACATAAACAACATAAAAAACATAAGTTACAATCCATATTCAGAAGTCTTTGTATGAGTTCATATTTGTCAAAAAAATCCACTAGGAAGAGTTACTAAGAAATATATATTACTTTATATATATCATTTCAAATCTAAGTAAGAAAGTGAAGGCACTTATGAACTAATTTAAAACAAACCTGATTAAGAGCATCAGGTCTTAGCAACCAATAAACAAATGTATACTGAAGGCTTCTGGATTGGATTTGCATATACTATTCAAAAATTGTAATGTCTTGACCTGTGCACAGTTCAAAAAACATGCAGAAATCTTAAGAACAGTTGAGAAGTATAATATTAAGACGATTCAAGTTATTGATTAATTTGTATCAAAATGAATCAAAAGAAGCTAGAAAAAGATGTGAATACATTTCGATATATAGATATTTTGAGCTGTTGTTAATTCAAACACGGATAAAGAAAACGCCACTATCGATTTATTTTGTATTGAAAACAAAACATAATGAAGAAACTAGATGTTCTTTTTAACTCTACGACTAGTTCTTAAGACTGTGAATTCAAGAATAACCGGATATAACAAAAAATAACAAGATATAAAAATGGTACCATAAATACGTGAAGTGCCAATCTTTTAATATTATTAAGATCAAAAGTAAAGGTTTTAAACTGCTAAGAGGTAAGAATAATATTTCTTCTTAAAAATCATTATTCATATCTTGTGCTTATAAGGATTGTACTGAAATCATCAATAAACGCATAATAATATAGATGTTGTATGGTTCACATATTAACTATGAAGAATTGATTACTTATTTGAGAGAAATGCTGATGCCTCTACTATGTGTAAACTACTTGACATACGAAATAACGAAATAATGAGAAATACTACTAAGAATCTCATGGTTATTGAGAACTTTGAAAAATAATTTTTGTCGACAGAAGTCAACTGAATGATGGTCAAGAAACCGCGTTGTTACAGGTTCGTATCAAACATATTTTAAAATTAATTTTTTTTGCTTGTCTTTATAGATAGATGTTGTAGATAGATCCTTCATCAAATAACTTTGATGTGTAAAGTTATTTACACATTGAAGTAAACTTTTAATTATATGTAGATTTCTTCAACTTTAAACTAATGGAATTCCAACAAACAAGAACAACTTATAGTACTGCTAACAGAAAACAATTTGCAGGACTAGCTCAACTATGAGCTAGTTGAGTTCCAACTAACAAGAATTCCTATAGTACATCATAAGTACTGCTTTCAAATGTAAAGACTGCTAACAGAAAACTACTTATAGGACTCATGACTTAAGTATGAATTGACCCAGTTCCAATTAACAAGAAATACATAAAGGATTCATGTAGCCATCCTCAACTATGGCCTAGTGGAGTTCCAACATACAAGTATAAGTTAAAGTACACATGTAACTATGTGACACTATGCCCGAACCAAGTTCAGTTAAGAAGAAAAACATATAGGATTCATGTAACTGCGTTCAAGTATGACCTGATGGAATTTCTATTTAATATCTTGTAGTACTCATGCAGCTGTCTTCAACTATAAGGTAAGGAAAATCGGTTCACCAAAAATAATGTATAGGAAGTTTCATCTAACCTGATTGACTTATAGGACTTTGTTTCTTCAACTGTGTTTCACTGTAAGAACTGCTGACAGAAAATAACTAATAAGACTCATGTAGCTAACTTGAACTAAGAAGTAAGGGAATTCCACTGAGCAGAAAAACACAAGATTTATGAAACTGTCTCTAGTAGCACTTATGTAGCTAACTTGAACTGAGAAGTAAGGGAGTTCCAAGTAAACTGTCTTCAGTTACGAGATAAGCGAATTCCAATTAACCAAAATCGTTTATTGGACTTTAGTTCTTCAACTATAATCAACTGTAAAGACCGCTGCCAAAGAATACCTCTGTTAGGACTGCTGACAGAAAATAGCTAGTAGAACTTATGTAGCTATCTTAAACTAAGAAGTAAGGGAGTTCCAAGTAAACTGTCTTCATCTATGAAATAAGCGAATTCCAATTAAGCAAAATCATTTATTGGACTTTAATTCTTTAACAATATTCAACTGTAAAGACAAAACAGGCAAAATATAGTTTATGGGACTCATGTAGCTGTCATAAACTATAAGCTCAGCAAATTTCAGCTATAAAGTATAAGTTATAGTTCCCATGCAACTGTCTTTAATTATTAGTTAGCGAAGTTCCAACTTAAAAGTATCACTTATGGGACTTATGTGGTCGTCTCGAACTATGAACTAAGTTAGTTTCAAGAGGATAAATAATTAAGATTTGGAGAACAAATGTACTACTATACCTACGATGTTTACAGTTTTTACAAATTTTGACCAATTTTATTTCATAAATACATGCAGTAGATTTGAGTATTACGCAAAAGTATATTTTTAACGCATATTTTATAAATCTTCTTTAAGATCCGGAAGATATTTAATTGTTTAAACGTTATGGATGAAATAGAATATTAAAAAAATATTTAGAATAAATAAATTTAAATGTTTCTGTTTTTTGAAAAGTTTTTAACATTTTAAAAACATATATATATATATATAAATATTTTTTTTTATATACCTTCAGCCAAAATTTTCTTTCGCCGTTCTTCACGTTCTTCCCGCGCTTTCTCTAATTGATATTTAAGTGACGGTGCTGGCACTTCATTTGGTCGTACACTGAATATGGGACGCGTCATAATGGCATCCATTTCAGAGAAATGCTTCCATGTGGGCTCGTTATTTGTGGTTAAACCAGATTCAACATCCTTTTTTAAGCGATTGTAGAAACATTTCAAATTCTTGATGCGTGTTGTTATCTCCTCTGGCGAGCGATAATAACCATACTCTTGCATCTTCGTCGCCAGTTGACAGATAACAACATGTTTCTTATGTGTCGTTATCAGAGTGCGTTGTATCTTAGGATCGCCCCACAATTGTATTAGCAACTTGGTTTCATCGGTGTCAAAATTTGGATTTCGTCCGTAATTGCCATTTTTCTTCACTTGCAGATTAGTGCTGTTGAGCACACGATTATGGGAAACCCACGGCACACCAGCGCGACGCTTCGTTTTGGTACGTGCGCTTGATTTTGTAGTCATTTTTTTATTTTTTTTAATTTTGTTGTTGCAATCTTTTCCCGTTACTGATAAAAAAATACACACACTCGGCTTACGAAAAACTCGATTTATTTTTTCTTTAAGTATAATTAAATTCTTTTTTTTTATTGTGAATTGTTGATAGCTTATTTAATGTATAATAATTATTTAATAATAATAAAAATCTGATTTTATTTTAAAAATCTTCCGCACTTTTAAAACTCACTTCACTCCGTCGAATGTCAACTGTGTACTGAGGACCAGAATTTTATTTCACATGAACTACGGCGCAACTCCGTGGGCGATGCACAAAGCAAGCAACCCCTAAGTCAATGAAACAATTCGTTTGGCAAGACAACACCACCAGCAACCCAAAGTGGTAGGCAAGTTCGCCTGACAAGGTGGTTTATTTTGCCACCAAAACTTATTCACTCTCCCTCGCGTGCCACTCACGAGCTTTGTTGTTATTGCGGCGACTTGCTTGTGTGTGACTGCAGTTTCCGCTTTCGTACGTACAGGTTCCCAGCACGACGATGGCTCGGATACGACTACATTTAAGCGGGTGAACATTGAGCTAAAAAACTCTATGAAACTTAAGTCAAAGCAAATCTGTTTTTTTTTTTTTTTGATTTATATTGCTTTACTCCTTGTGGCACATGATGACATGCGCTCTGGAAACCTATGCCTATTATAGCTGCAACTTATACGTCGCGACGGTGTAAAAATATTGATTAATCTCAAATTTATTAAGTCTTACTAGAAGTGAACTTATTAGTACGTGTCCATATATACATACATTTATAGATAGGTTCATACGCATAAAGTGTCATAGTATATCAGATTTTAATTTATGATTTTAAATCATAAATCATAGGTTTTTCGAACAGTAGTGAACTACAACAACAAAAATTCATTTTATTTAATTTTAATTAATTGAATTTTTGGCTGACCATACAACTATTTCGAGTATTCCCAAATACCCATTATAAGTGTTCTTGGAATTAATTCTTGTATTTAATTATTCGTAAATAATTTTTTGAGACTGCAAGTACCAGGAATCGAACTCGGGTCCTGCCAAATTTGAACCCAAATTTAAATCTTAAAAATTAAAAATTTAATTTAATTAAATTTTAATTACTAAGTCCACAAAAAAGGGATAAGGACGCCACAAATTCTTATTATATACAGAGTAAGTGCGTTTTCTGCTTTTTACCCATCACACTGGGCAAAGAGGGTCCAATAAAATAAAAAATAACTACCTAAATGTGGTAGGTAAGGCCTAATGGTGCAAAACTCTATATGTACGGAACGCTAAAAGCAAAAAATTCTTATTATATAATTACAGCAGATTTCACAGCCACAACTTAAGTATGACTTAAGATAAGTAACGAATGTTGAGACTTAAGTTTGATTACATTTCATAATGACATTAGCGCAAAGGAAATAGCTAATAAGTAAATAATACTAACATTATTTAAAATCATGCTGCAGCTCAGAATTTTATTAAATTTTAATATGTCAAAACATATGAAATTAAAAAATAAAAGAAATAAATTAAAATTACACTATACACTGGCGGTTTTGTGGCTGACTTAAGTAATGCTTAAATCCATAATATTGCTCATTTAAGTCATACTTAAGTTATTATAAAGTTTTAACTATAATGTCTTCCCTTCTTAAGTTATGTTATACTTTATTATTGGTTATTATTAAAAAAGAATAACCACCTAAAAGATCTATTGGGCGCTTTAGTCGAATTAGAGTGTTTCTCCAAGTCCGATTTCTTTAACGAAATGCAGTATAGAGCGTACTTCTCCTAATCTTGGTTTCTTATGATCCATTAAATACCTTCCTAGATATTTCTTCCATTTGTGTATAAGTACCGGGCATTTCCCAAGCACATGGTATACATTTTCTCTCTCTTCTCTACAGTATCTGCAGTTTGAGTTGATGGAATTCCTAACTTCGATAGGTGATTATTCAATCTACAGAGACCGGTCAATACAAACGTAAAAATTTTTAAGTTTATTTTTGGACTGTCTGATAAACCTGCAATAATTAGAAAAGTAACGTTGGGTTTATCGAAGCTTCAATATTTTTAACACAAATAGGTGTATTAATTCCATGTGCTACGTGGATTTTTTCCACATATTGGTTAGCATAAGTTTTATCTCACTTTGTATTAAACAAAATAAAAGACAAATGAAACATTACAGTTTTTGTTTAGAAATTTATTCCACACACAAAGTAAAGCTTCCTGTTTATATACTTCTAGGTGCACTGGAGTTAACTTACTGTTTATGCTGATTCAGCTATAATCGCCGTAGCCAAGCTACACACAGCATTCTTTGTTTACTTGATGAACAATGTTGCGCTTACGATTCCACTTATAGAAATCAACTTAGATACGACAAACACCACCACACTTATCTCAAGAATGCAAATCTCAGCATAATTATCTTGATTTAGGTGAATTCAGTTCTAGTCAAGCCAACAAACAAAACTGCGCGTAGTTTCTGTACCTAACACATGCTTCCTGTATAATTGCATATTCTTTATATACAGTAAAAGTACCATTAATCGGACACTCTCAGAAACAGACTACTTACTTAATGATTAAATGTTGCTAGTGCTTAGTTTTTGGACAGTTCTCTTAATTATGCAGAATTATTGAACCTAGCGATGTTTGCCTTAGAAATCTGTCATTGTATATTTTTCGATCTGTGTTTAAGGTTGAAATGTACCAGAATTAATATATTTTGAATGGGTATGGGTTTTGTATAGTCACCCATAGTTTTGAAAAGTTTTCTTGATCGAACAGAATTGCTATCTGTTCGATCACTATCCCTTATACTTAGTCTGCTATTAAGCCCATTAGGTATTAAACACAATAAACAAAATTTTTTAAAATTTTCATATGTCTATATGCATGAGATCTATGTTAATAAGAAATTCTTGTACCAAGTCACATCCGTATAATACTGTCAACAAGCGATTACCAACATACAAAAAAAAACAGACAAAGACAAAAGATATAACTACACATCTTGTCTGTTACTAAACCGATTAGGTATTAAACATATTGAACTAAATTTATTAGAACTTTTATATGTCTATATTCATGAGATCTAATGAATATATCATTAGAAGTCCTTATGTCAAATCACATCCCTATAATACTATTAATAAGCGATTAAATTACCAACAAACAAAAAACAGACAAAGACAAAAGATATAACACAAATCTTTAATCTATGGAGAATGCAAATTATCATAGCCTAGTAAAAGATCTACAAAACCAATACCTTTGGTTCAATACAAATGCTTATCAGAATGAATAATGGAGAATTCACGAAGATTTTTTGAGGAAGTGATGGTGCAAAAAAAAAACATGGGCGTTCAATCTATACTGCTTGACAAGCTGATCAAGAATATAAATTGATTTTAGTACATAATATTATAAAGTAGGCCATAAAATCATTAAAAAAACTATATACATAATATAATCAGTAAAAGTTTGGAACGTTACATTTTAATTTAAAATTTATTTTGATATGAGTTGTTATAAATTTTATGTTTTCAGAAAAAAAAATTAAAATTCTAAAATATTCAAAAAAATTTTTAAATTATTTATTTCTAACTTTTTATTTGCAAAATTATGGGTAGTTTAATTTGGCTTAATAAAATCGCTTATATGCTTAAAAAAAAGAATCAAAATAATAAGCAGTTAAAAATTTGGAGTCACATAAATAAAATAGAGGAAAAACATAATTTGATTCCAGAGAGGTCTATATACAAATTTGGCGAATGCATAATGCCAATCTGGGTTGATATAAACACACGATTCAATAATGAAAATAATTTACGACGTTATTTTGATGACTATCAAGTAAATTATTCGAAGCAGAAGCCTGAGTCTACTCTAAGTAACTTATGGGATAATGATGTCAGTACTAATTTCGATGCCGAAAATGAAAAACAAAAACACACGGAAGAAATTAAGTATCAATATATTGTCGGCTCTAAATCCAGTAACAACATAGTTAAGGCAATAATAAATTATAAGAGTAGTACAATTGCCAATAATAATGTTCATTTGAAGTCCAACATGTGTACCGGCAACGTTACTGAAGAATATGAAACACTAGGTATATTTCAGTCAAATATTGTGGTCAATAATGATAGCAAAAAAGAGTGTAGTGATTGTGTACATGACAAATCTGAAAAGGAGATAAAAATAGCTCACTTAGAGTCCATTGTCATAGACAATAAATCAATGTCTTCACTACAATCCTGTGTCGGTCCTAACAATCACAAAAAGGACACTGCAACTGATAGGTCGGTTGTTGGTGTTAATTATAAAACTACACTGGAGACTGAAACAGAACATTTCCAGTCCAATGTCGACAGTGACGGTAATGACTTTCATGATAATCAAGAAATTCAGCCCAATGTTGGTACCAAAAATGACACTAAACAGCACTTGGATGCAATGAACTCAGTTCAACCTAATATCGGTCAGTATGACGAAGACAAACAGGATACATCCAATGTTAACTTTCCGTCTAGCCTCGGTGCCGATAATAAAAACAAAGATGACCCACGGAACCCAGCAACTATTAAATACCAGTTGTTACATAGAATTCCTTTAATGCTTCTTCACGTCAGTTTGTTTATTGGACGAAGCGTTGGGAATGTATTCCCCTAATATAGTATAAACAGTTCGTCGCCAATAACTAAATCAAAAAAAAAATGTTTAAAATTTTGACAACCTAAGGGGTCCAACTAAACATCTAATGAGAATGATGTATGTATTGACACAAACTATTTATATATTTATATATAATGTATATAAAATCTTACAGAACCTGTTCTTCAGATATATATTTTTTTTCAAGTTTTTCGGATCTATTAATTTGAACAGCTTTTATGACTGGATTGATGACTTATGAAGGTCCATATACAAAACAAATATATATAATGAATAGAAATTATAATGATTGTAATGATTCTGTTAATTTTAATTTAAAAGATATTGGAGCAAAAATCGACAAAAATTTGTAATGTAGTTCCAAAGTATGAACCACTTTGTACTTTGTGTTTACATATATTATCATCCTACTGTTAATTATTGACAGTCCAAAAGGCGGTCTTAAAGAAGAGTGAAGTATCGAAATAGTTTATAGAAGACTAAAAAATCGAACATTTAAGAAAAATGGAGTGAAAAAGACCCAGAGTTTATTTCCAAATACCAACGCAATTATGGTGTACAAAATTTTAAATATATTTGTGTTTTGATTATAAATTTCGAAAGTATATACAAAATTAAATAAATTTTAAAATCAAATTTTAATATTGTAATTAACTATTAAAATAAAATTATATAAAATTATTACTTTTAAAACTATTAACTGTCGTATATGTGTTTAGTAAGGATCGTAAATGAAATATCACTATAGTGAAACACTTTTGTGACAGCGAGCTTTTCTTCACTCAACATGGAAGACTAACTCAAAAGGAATAAATTATTCTAAATGCGAATATTTTTATTAAGATACGTATATGAAATATCACTACAGTGAAATGTCTTTAAGCGAACACTTTTCACCAGTGAACTTTTGTTCGCTCAACAGCAAAATTTGGCGGAATAAGTTCAATTACTCTAAAGAAGTATCTATAATACTTTTATTTAGAACCCTAAATGAAATATCACTGCAGTGAACAATTTTCGCTGGCAATTTTTGTTCGTTCAACAGAGAAGACTCACTCAAAAGGAATGAGGTTAATGTTTCTATTAAGAACCGTAATTTAAATAATACTACGGTAAAAATTAATATTCTGCTAAGTTTTATTCGTTCCTCATGGAAGATTGCCTAAAGCAGGTTCCAAATAAGGAGAATATTTTTACTAAGGACCATAAATAAAATAATACCACAGTGAACTCTTTTGGTGAACACTTAAAGGCGGCGAATTAAAAAGAATAAATTGTTCCAAATAAGGAAAATAAATAAATTTGGTTTAAAAAACATTTTTCGCCCTATAGGATTATTTATTTAACAAGAATATTCAATTGGTGTGTTTTTAGTGTATTTTGATTTGGAACAAAATATTTTTTTAAACATTTTAATGAATCTATTGACAGACCTTTTCGGTTTCAATATCCTTGGTTACAATCATTATAGGGTAAACACTATACAAACACCATGCAGCACTAAAATGTAATGATAATTAAAGCAGGAATAAATGAAAATTGGAAAATAATGTAGACATATGCATAATAATGTATTAATTGTATTTATAATAATGTAATAATAATGAAAATAATGTATAAGAGAGAGAGTATGTATTTCAGGTTAAAATACAAACGTCTCTGAACGAAATTTAAAGTCATAATATCTGTGTACGGTCAGTTAATTTAGGTTATAATAATTAATGTAAACCAGTATTAATTATTAATAAACCACAAATATTTTTTAAAAATTTTTCCAATAATTTTTAACGCTTAAATGCTTGCAATAATTATTTTCTAAGAAATGCATATATATGTATATATTACGATGTGTGTATCTTCTATATATGCGTCATAATTCACCACAATGCATTCGAATCGATAAGTTCGTGTTGCTTGTATTTTGCTATTCAAGCTGCATTTATTCATTTCTAGTGACTCTCTCTACTTAAGTGACATTTACGGAGGGTGGCTTTTGTGTTGGAAAACAATAAATAACATTTATTTTTTTTTTAATAAACACAACAAAAGCACGTATAAACTGCGCATTTCAGTTTGTTGCACATGCGTACGACATCGTATGCGGCAACATCGTTTTGCCGATTTACTTGTTTGTTGACTGCTTTAAGGTGAGTAACTCACCGTGAGTTGCTTAAATTAAGCATACGAATACGAAACCACCCCATTTCTCATACACTACCTACCACAGCTGTATTAATGCTACTGTGGTGCCTTTAAGCCAGTGGGTGGTGATTTTGTTGCTATGTTATCAATTGTGCGCCAAGTCAAATTTCACTAACAACGCATTTTTGTGCTCATCATACACTTGTGCTCCCTGCACATGCTCCTTAACTGAGTCCCGGGAAAATATTCAATATTCGTACTGTACTCTCTCCCTTGTTTACAATGTAAGTGATTCACGCGTGTTAGCTGAATGCTTAAGGCCACACTTTAACACTATAAAATTTTAATTTTATTTGTTGCTAGATAGTTGGTAATTACATACTAAGCGAAGTGGGAAGCAAGGGGTTGTAAAGGTATAGAGAGATTATTCGCAAATGCATGAATGTTTATTATAACTAGAATTGAAAAGTAGGTAGAATTAAGAAGTGAAAGTGCAAAATAGTTCGAATTATTTAATTACTTTATTATTAATTAATAAAAATTTTGTTTTTGAAACAGACTAAATGATCAATAGCTAAATAATAGAGTTTTTAAAAATATATTGTTAATTAAAGAATTTTTTTTATATAAACCAATATTTTAACGAAATTTTTCAGTCACCCTTTCAGTCAAATTTGTTTTTAAAACGGACTAAATGATTAATAGTTAAATAATAGACTTTTTAAAGAACTTTTTTTATTTAAATCAATATTTTAACGAAATTTTTCAGTCAGCTTGAGGTTACTAAAGAAGATGTACTTCATATTAGTTCCCTGAAGATGAATATAGAATATAGTTGAAATATTGATTTAAATAAAAAAATTGTATAAAAAAATACATTTTTTTAAAAAGAACTAGGGAGCTTCTAATGTCAGAGAGTTTCCCACTGAACATTGCGGAGTACATAACCATCTATCGAACCTAGGTATTACAAGAGACGATAACTGCAGACTTTGTAGCGAAGAAAAATAAACAGCAGAAGACATTCTGTGTCACTGTAATAGTCTCGCTACACTCAGACTTCGGTACTTATCAATTGCCTACCCATTTATAACGGAATTAGGCAACATCTCTCCAAAGAACATAATGACTAAGAACATAATGATAAACTGCTACTCGTCTATGGAACTAAAGTGGGTGTGTCACAATAATCCTCAAAGGTTGCCATGACGTGGTGACAAGTTCCCAACTGGCTTAAAATCTAATCTAATCTAACTACTAACCAATTACCTCATTTTATAAACAGAATTATTGAGTATTGTGCCCTTTAGAGCTAATTTTGATCATTTATCGACGCATATTGGCAATAGTTTGGCTTTAACTTGACAAATGTTTTCCACATATTCCTTTACATAACACCCAAAAAAATAATCAAGACATATAGTATGGCATCTTTCGCAATGGACACCAAAATAAGTTGGAAATCATGTGGCGGTGACATGAGATGTGACAATTTTAGTTGTTAACATATCCATCAAGCAAAGTATAAGCCTTATCACTAAAAAATGTTCGATACAAAAAATTGTCGTCCAAAAGATACTGCTAATTAGCGTTGGATATATTAGATGGATAGATAATCAGCTTCAGTTATTATGTTACGCTAATTAGCGTGTATATTACGCATGGTTAACCTTCTTGATTTGTCTTATGTTAAGTGAATTTTAAAAAGATGGGAATGCAAATAGGTCCAAATGCTGTGACAGCGTGTAATTAAGACACACGGTGACATCAATATACATCTTTTTCAAATTTTCAGTCATTTCACAATTTCTTCAGTGCTAATCTGCTTTGAATCTGGTAAAAATACAAACCATTAATAACATAATTAAAAACTTTTAATTTTAATAATTTACGTAAACAATTTGCACTTAAATAAAAGCATAAAATTATTGTTCATAATTTGATATTAAAGAAATTTTTAAAAAGAAAAGTTGCTGACTAGTACAATCTTTAGTGCTGCCAAGTTTTTATATGATGTAGAATTTTGACGTTTGTCTGCAATACTTATTCAACATCAAATGTCATTAATTTGACATTTTGTTATTGGTGCTGCATTATTTCTATACCATTTAATTTGGCGAACCAAAAACGTAAAAATGTCGGCCCATTTAAGCGATGCGGAAAAAGCAAGATTGACACAAAAACATGAAAATACGTTGAAGCTTCGTAAGGAATATATAAAACAAATGTCAAATCCTTATCGTCATGGCACGAAGGAAGGTGGTATTATAGTAAGTTTTTCTATGGGCTTTATGTTATGTCATCATTGTGTTTATATGCAAAAATTTCTTATTTTGTTTAGTTCGATGCTGGCATCACACGTTTTCAAGCTATGACTGTCTCGCATATAGAACATTTTAAACCAACTCCTAAGTCATTTAAAACTGGCATGTTTCTTGTTGTTTTACCAATTTGCTTATATGCTTGGTTGCTTAAGTCTGATCGTGATGCTAAGGAACATAAATATCGCACGGGCCAAGTAGCTTACAAGGATCGTAATTTTAAATTTATCTAAACTGGTATAGATGTGCAGTACGAACCATGTAAACAATATTAAAATAATTTTAATTGCAAATAATTAAAGTCTCTTGAAATTTGTTTATTAAATACAGTGTGTGAACTTAAATATATGAATTATTTAAATAATATAATCATTTGTCTTCGAGTTGTTTGTCGCGTGCAATTACAAAATCCTCAAATTTGACCATATAAGTTGTGCCTTTGTGCCAGTGAGCGGTGACTTTGCAAGGCTGAAATTAGTTAAATTGAAATAAATATTATTGCAATTATATTAACTTTAAAACATTAATTAATGAAATTAGCTATTAGGTTTCGAAATACACAAATGAGGTTTTTCGGACAGTAGTGAATTGCAACAAAAAAAATGCATTTTATATTATTTTTAATTAATTGAATTCTTGGCTGACCATACAACTGTTTCAAGTATTGCCAAATACCCATCATCAGTGATCTTGGAAATAATCTTGTATTTAATTATTCGTATACAATTTTTTTAAACTGCATGTATCAGGAATCAAACTAGTGTCCTGCCAAATTTGAAGCTCACTACACTACCTGTATTTCGATTTGAATAATGATGCTGTTCATTTATAAGAAATGTTGCACTAATAAAGTAACACAAAAATAAAAGATATTAAAACATGATATATACTGATATATATACAAATTATATTGAAAGTTGGTACGCTGCTAACAAAGAAAAGCAATATACATAAAAATTAAAAAAAAAACATTCTTTCCTCCCTCACATTATTTATTAAAGGCATAGACGATGGACAATATTTGAAGTATTACGTATAAAATTAACGCATGTTTTTATGATACTATAGCAGTTAATGCTGAATATCGTGTCCGATAGAAGAATAAGCTATACCGCGACATTAACATATTCTAATAATTTTAAGCCCATCAACTTTGCAGCTATGTTAGTCGTAGTTAAAGCTCCGTCAAAGAAAATCTTAGAGAAGTTATCTTAGGTGTTAGTTGTGGAATGGATCTCTTTTAAACTGGATTGAACACTGAGAAGCTTGCTTTAGCTTGATGATTTCCTTAAACTAATTATAACTTTTTTATCCTGTTATGCATGTTTGTCATTCTTATATGATGTGTTGGCCTTACGGTTCTATTTAGGTTACAATAACAACAAACTTCAAATAAAAATTGCATACACCATGTTATTAAATATGACGTTCTTCTAGAAAGCCGTGTTATAATTTCTAATAAGACTAATAAAATAAAAAACTAATAAAATGTAATTTAAATTTGTCTAAGCTAATCTGCAAATGATATGCCGAGTCATGTAGACTAACAAATAAATTGGATACTTAACCCACATAAAGATCAAAATCATCTCATATCCTAAGTGAAACACAATTAGGTTCACTTACAAAGAAGAGCTGCGGAACTGATTGATATCAACTCGAATAAGAAAGAACAAAACTCAGTAAAATCCGAAAAATAAAGATTTGACCGCTCTTGGAATAAGAGTTGTTATACAAATCTTTTTATTCTATATATAAATTTTTATCAACGATTATGCACGATATGTAAAATCTGTTTTACCAAGTAATATAATTCAAAGCGACTCAGTGAAAAAATCAAAGAAAGAATAACAATGATTTCAGAAGCGATCGGACCTATGTCGCGGAACAACTCTTCAACTTTGAAACCCAAGTGCCGTTTAACATTTGCAAAATAGATTATACCGGTAGACTTCCCCGACGTACAACAGCAACTGAGAAAGTATAGCTAAAGGCAATTACTTCATCCTTTATAATTAAATTCCGAATGGTTTTCGAATCTCGGACACCTTTTAAGTTTTATCACTACTATTTTGTAAACAAATATTTCTGTCTATTAAAAATATTAAAATAAAAATACTCACAAAACCTGAATGTGTTAAGACTGCTTCAATTATTCCGGCTGTGAAGTTCGCACAATTCAATGAACCTTTATCTTTAGGTACACTAATGAAAGTATTCACTAATGGTTCCTTTTCAATAATGTAATAGGTGCGCTCATCATCATTTGCATGCTCCAGTTTTTCAGCTTCTTTGCCGAATAGATTTTTCCAAACAGTTGTCTTAACAAACAATAGCATTTGTGTTAATTTGGTCTCTCGCTTACAGCTACGTTCTCGTATGAAATATAAATCGATAATGCGTGTGCCAACATCTTGACCGAGCTCATGTAATCTAACAATTTAAATAAATTGTTAAAATGTTTATAGAAAATGTTAACGATAATAAAATATCAATATATCTGACCTAGTTTGCAATTCTGGTACTGTTGAGCATAGTTTTTGGCTGTACTGCACGATTTCACTGAAAAACAAAGCCACTATACCAAGTGAAACTTCTGACTTACCCTTGGGCAGCGATTTGTCAAGAATATTAGTACGTGGCCGCATCGATGATATTTTAAGTGCTTCTAATTTTTCCATTTTGTACACAAAATGTTTAAATAAATATTCAGTTTTTTCTGTAATTTATTATTATTTTTGCTATTCAATAAATACAAACAAAGCAAACATATGACATATAAGTTTACCCTCTACTATTAGGTGCGTGTTATAGAAACTTTTATTTTTGTAAAAGCTGGCAGCATTGTAAGTAAATGATAAAAGTTCTTTGTCTAGGTGTCAAAACCGCTATCATCAATATGGATATTCACACAAAACTCGGTAATGGGTAAAATGATTGAATGGCAATCATCTAAACTCCCCTTTTTATTTTCTTTTTCATAAATTTAAAAAATTTTACTGTCAGAACTACGGAGTTTGTGTTCAGTTTGTATTTATTTGCTTTGTCTTATAATAACAAAAAAAAAATTAGTAAAATTAAAATTTTTGTAATATTTGTTCAATTATTCAATTTTTTATTTCTATTCATATATTTGTATAAATCTTTTTCTTAATATTATAAATTTAAGTTTTAAGCAAAAGTTTATAATAATTAGAAACAGCTAAGATTTCACCCAATATCAAGTAATTTGGAATTTTGTTATTACCATAGGTATATTCCCTCTGTCTTGCAAAGTCAAAATTGCAACAACAAAATTAAGGAGCTGTTTTTGCAGCCTACCACATACATATGAGAACAATAGATGTCAAAACAGTTTTTATTTTCTTTTTTGTTTCGTTGCAAGCATATATGCATGGGTTTATCAAGATTGCAAGCAAGATTGCAAGTTTGTTGTTATCCATTGCAAACTCGCGCAATCTGTGCCTTTTGTTCACGTTGCAATCAGTTTGCAAGACAGAGTAAATATCCCTCATGTTTTCACTGGTGTCATTTAGAAAGTTTTGCTCATTAAAAGTTTTAAAAAATAGCGCGAAAAAGTAGTGACGATTTTTTTGGAATACATGATAGAGAAAATAAATATTACATTTCTGGAAGTATAGCGCAGTAAAGATAAAGTCGAAATATGAGATATAGATTAAATAAAATCCATGCAGCTGGTACTGTAATGCCTCAGAAACATTTGAATTACCTCATCAAAAATAATGACCTTTTGGTCAACTCGCAAATACTAAATATATCGAAATTAATATATTTAATACGTTTTATTTTATGTAATTATTTTTGTAGAAAATTAATATTAAGAATGATTTTATTCTTTTTAGGAGCATATAAAAAATACAATTGTAAAAAAGAGTTTTGATATTTGAGATTCGTGACGTTTGCAATGATTTTGTTCTTCCCTGTGAAATTCTTCATTACTATATTCCAAAGAACTGTAGCTCTGACATTGTTAGCCAATCATTATCGGAGTTCTGTGGTATTATTTCAGACCTTACTATTTTAATATGATCACTGCTGCACTGTGATTGGTGGCGATAAAATAACAATTAATGTGTGATCAATTATGAACAAAACTTATCCATTTCAGATAGAGTAAAATTACGTTATCTTTTGTTAACTAAGTATATATTTGTATGACTTTATTGTTTTCTCTATATATTATCTCTCTTTTTCACACAGTTTCAAATTGTAGACAATATTTCTCTTAAATTTTTGTTTATGAATGACTTGTAAAATTTCCAATAGATCTCCTCATGAGTAAATTATAAACAAAAAAATTGATAAACTTTATCAAGTTTTGTTAACAAAGCAAATTTTGTTAGTAAACAGAATGATTTTTGGAAATAATGACATTCAACTTCTAAATGTTAATACATTTTCATAAATTCAGCTGAAGATATATAAGGTGATTCACTGTCTGACCTATTTGTTATGGTTTGTAAGACATTCTAGAGTAGTTTGCATAATAACACAAAGCATTATTTTTGATATTAAATAAGAGAAAAATTTATTCCTAATTCCGTACATAATTTGTTACTTTAAAAGATGATAAAATTATATATATAGTATCTAAACTGAAGGAGTGGAGGAGTAAATAGAAACAATTGGATATTTTGGACACAACTTTTGATAAATACATATTTTATTTTAAAAAATAAATAAATCACAAAATAAAAAAAAACTTGATATAACAATTTTTACCAATGATTTCAATTCCAAACACTAAACATCTGTAAATTTGAATTTTAATGGTATATTTGGTACATTGATAATTAAGGCCTTGAAAGCTTCATCGACTGGGTGATTAAATTCCACTTTAAAGTTTCTAATAATTCTGGCTATGCCCAACTCCAGTTCCATTTCAACTACCCGCTTTCCAATGCAACTTCTAGAACCGAATCCGAATGGCAGATATATGAATGGATTTGTGACCTTCAATTCATTAGAAGATTGATTTTCAGAGTCCTTGTTTTGCCTTAGCCAACGTTCTGGGATAAATTCTTCAGCTTTCGTATAATACTTTTCATTTTTTCGTAGAGTTGTTGAAACCATAGAAACTTGAGTTCCTTTCGGTACTTGATATCCACTCAGCACTACATCTCTTTGCGGTGTACGAGCATTAAGTTCAACTACAGGATATAATCTTAACGATTCCTTAATGCAAGCACGTAAGTATGGCATATTTTTTAAAGAGGTATCAGTAAAATCTGAGGTCTTATCTGGTAATATTTTCAAGATTTCTTCACGTAGTTTCTCTTGCTTTTCTGGATTTTTTGCTAAGCACAACATAATACCAGTGAAAGCAGACGATGTCTTTAAAAAGCATAGTTTTAGAACATATTTAAAAAAATAGAAAAATAACTATGCTTACGGTATCTACTCCTGCCATTAACATATCCATAGCCATTACTGTTGCAAGTTTCTTATTGATTTTTAATAATTTTTCTATGACACTCTTTTGATTGTCCGGTTTTTCAATGCCTGCTTCGTGCTCCTTTTCCAAACGTTCTATAGCCTCATTTACATAACTTAAGGTAACATTCTGTATATTGTCCAAACATTTTAAATAAGCCTTCATTGTTGGTGTTAGTACAAACTTCCATACTGGGGGCTTGAGTTCCAGATCAAGTGATAACGTGAAAAATTCGGTAAGATTGTTAAATAGTTGTTTGGCTTCTTTGTTGTCACGATTTTCTTTTAGCAAACCTAATTGCTTGTCAAGTGCAACAATTGATACTGATTCCAGTGTCCAACGATTAATCTCTTCTTCAAAGTTATCAGGTACTTCAAGTGTACGAGGATCTCTTATTTCCTTAATTCTTTACCAATCAAATCAAATCAAAAAAATTTTAACAAAATAAAACACAAGTACAAACCTATCAACAAAATCACAGTTGACCTGTGACATTTTTTGCAAATACAATTTGACATTTTTCGGTTGCATTAACACTGGATTTACTGCTGATCGAAAATTACCCCATTTTTCTCCTTGTCTATGATTTTAATAGACAATATAATATAAAACATATACATATTTCAAATATATTACTTTTGATTAAACTTACGTAGATATAAGCCCTTCAATGTTTTCAAAAAAGTCCGCTCTGTGCTTCTCTCTATGATACCTCAGTGCTTTTGAACCAGGACGTAGTGGCCAAATTCCTTCGTTACGAAAAACACGCTCAAAATCTTCAGGATTATGAGTTATTAAAATTGCTTCTCTTCCAAGCATGGCAGGCATTAAAAATACATCGCCGTAGTCTTCTTTTAATTCGGATAAATATTTAATAAAGTTTTTCTTATAGTGTTTGCCACCAGGCATTAATTCCCTTATGCTATTAAAGGTTCCATTAGTGGGTATTTCAGTAAAGGGTTTAGCATGACTCCATTCCAAATCAGTGTCTAAATTTGCTTCACTTGCTTGAACTTGTTGTAGTGTCTACATTTTTTGAACGTATATAAGTGGCTACAATTAGCCGTTAATATAATAGTGTAGGAACTTACCAGCTGTGTAGATTGGATTAGTCTTAAGGTGGATAGACTCAAACATCTGGAGTTTCGCAAATTTAGTACAGTAAAACAATTTTTCGTGAGCAACATATTATATAAATATAAAAATTTACTTATATGGTGTTGAAAATTTTTTTTAAAAGTCACAATGCCAAGACAATAGGCCAGAATTTCTTTTTTTTAGCTAATGTTGTAGTCTTCGCGAAATCGACTCGATAGTGTTCGAAATGCTACTACTTCATGACAAGCGTAATACCTAACTTTTATACCGCTTTCTATGATATTTACCAAAAGTTTATTCACTTTATTTATAACATCTAAAATTGTAAAACCTACGACAATACATACGACTACATGGGTTAAGCTATGAAATTCAAAAGCTCGGAAACTACTGATAATATTGTTTTGAGTGCAACCACTAGAGCTTTAGTAACTGATAAAAAATAAGTGAAATTTTAAACAAAAATAAATTATCTAGCGTGTTCTGCAATCCGTTTACGATCAAAAACGGAATTGATTCCGCGTTAAAGTTTTCTGCCGTCCGCGGATTGCAGAATAGGCCTGCATATATCAATTTCTGTTATGTACATATATAACATATAAAAGGATTTAAGGAATATATCAAAATTGTTGCTGTTGCTTATTGCAAAACTAGGCTAGGAAACTAGGTAGATACTTTAGGAATAGACACATGAAAAACATTGATGGATGAAGACTCCATAGAGTGTGTTGCAGGTTCCTCAAAAATATACGGCATTGTAGACTGTATAGGTTGAATTGCGTTTAAAAATCCCTGTATCATTTTAGCAGTTTCCAACCGTTTTAAGTTTTTATCCATCATTTCTTCCTGTTTTTTGCTTTGCATTTCAATTAATTTTTCATCTTGTTTCTTCATCATCCGGAGTAATTCTCTTTGTGACTCCTTCCAGTCCTTCGTAAATGATTTCACTACATTTTGGTAACTTTGTTTCTCTACAATAAACAAATGCTAAAAAATTTAAACTATTAGATCTATTGTTTATACATACTTGCTCTTTTGAAACTAGGTAAGTTGATAGAAGTTTCTGGTTCCTCTTGAGATACATCAATTAAATAATTGCAAAATATTATAGTTTAATGCAAAATTAACATATTGTTTGATAGATATATTTTTAAAGATCATTAAAGATTATGATATCAGTATCTGTAAAATGTTTTCGATATTAGTTTTTAGTTCCAGATAAAAGAAATTCGATAAATAATTTCGTTTGAACAATCAGGTTAGGGCTTTAATTAGAAAAAGATAAAGGTCTCGAATTCGTAGTTCGAAAAACAGTCCAATTAATTGAAGCACATATTGTATCTCGTATGTTTAAGAAATATGAGAAAAATATGGATGTGCCATAAGAAAATATGCTTTGAATATTGTTTGAAGAAATTAAATGCGAGGATTTGAATGCTACTCATTCAGAGTAGAACAGTATTGCGACATGCAAAATCTAATTAGATTAGGCTTCTAAGCAAGGATTTAGTGTACTTCATAACAACGTTCGGGAAGTGTATTCGACTTATTCTCGAAGGAAGTCCAACAAAAAAACGGCTATACTAACTATATCTCTAAATATCATCTCTAAAGAGCTAGAGGTTTATGTATTTAATTTATTGCCAACCAGTTTATAATTCATTCAATATTTACAACAATAAAAAAAATCAATATTCAATTTTAATTCTATAACCAAAATAATTTATTAATTATTATTTATAATTTAAATACAATAAATCAAATTTTTGAAAAATTGATCAAATACGAATAAATTTTAAATTATAACTTTTTGCAACAATATCTACACCTCATTCAACCGAAATAGTGTGTTAGACCCAATTTTCCACCAAAGTCAGTGTTTTGATTACTGAATGGACCGCTCATCCATTTTGATGCGGTTCCACTTAAATCCAAACGAGTATTACGATCTTGTGATGACCATAAATTTGCCTTTCCACCAAATTCCAATTGTTTACCAAAATTAGGAATACTGCTCTGTGTCAAGCTGGCACCATGTCCATTAGCATGAGCATATGAAAGGCCACCACCATTGCGTTCAAATTGAAATCCATTGGCAAGAGTATTTTGTGATTTAAATACATTAGCATCCACACTGTGAGGACCATTTTTATAAAGGTTGGCATTAAGACTTTGTGTGAATGAATCACGTACTCCGGGAATATGTTCCTTTGTCAGTGAAGCACCAAGACCATTACTAGGGGAAATATATGAAATTTAGTTATAAAAGTGAATATATATAAATTATACAAACGAACTTGTTATAAGCCAAGGTACCACCGGAAGCAACAGGTCCCTTCTCTGTGTTGCCAGCAGCAAATACACTACCAATGAGATTATGATTTGGATCACCTATAGCATGTCCCAATTCAAGTCGTGCATCAGCTCCACCATTTGGATTACTGACCAATGAACCACTCAAAGCATCACGTCTCACTCGTATCGCATGTATTGCAGTCGCAGATGATGGATGATAAGGCAATTGTTGAATATATTGTGATGTCGCTTCAGTTATGACGCAGAAAACTACGATTGTTACGGTCAAGCAGATAAAGTATTTCATTTTGTTGATTTTTTATTTGTTATTGTATATTATAAGTTAATTATAAATAGTTCTCTTTGCTTGAGAGCTGATAAGTGTTTGATGATGAACAGTTTTACATCCGAAGCTTTTATAGTACTACAATGGATCTGATTGATTATCGTTGATAAGGGAATTCCCTAGCGAAAAATTTTTCTTACTTACCTTTTCGATGTTATTTCAAGCTTGAGAAAATTTACAAAAATCTTGCTTATCTCTGTTTTTAATACTAAATATTAAAAATTTTTTAAATCTGCTTAAAAATTCTATTTGCATTTTTTACAATACAATTTTTTTTATTTCCTGTATCAAAAAAATCACATCAATAATATTTATTACAATATACGAGTATAAACTTTTATCAATCGAATTGTTGTAAGTTTTTTATGTGATTTTCAAATTTTTTTATTTAATATATTAGACAATAAAAAACGACATGAAAAGATATATAATAAACTCATAGGTTAGGTTAAGTTATACCGGGATCCACTAAGGCCAATTGGCTCATTGTGTTACCATAACATATATAGAAGAAGCTCAAAGTTTAAAAGCACCTAGAACCATTGACAAAGTTTAGAATGCTGCTTTTCAAGAAAGGAGACTCCTAAAGTGTTGAGTCGCCGCCGTGCATGAGCTGGGCAAATAAAGAGTATATAAGTTAGTAAACTCATATGTACTTTAAAATTTAATTTAATCTTTTAAGAAAAAAGTTCATAACTTTCTTTTTTCTTAAAAAGTAGTTTAATTTTTTATTATAAAAGTTAAAAGTAATTTATGGTGACTATTACTGTCACAGTACAGGCATTAGCGCTTCTCTCTTTGTTGCAAACGCCACAATTTAAATTATGATATTTACAATATAGAACCCGTATATAGTCCAGTTAGCAATAATTTAAATATTTATTAAATTTTACTAATATAAATAATACTCCATATCATAATTGAGGTTATTTATACACTACGACCTTAGTATATATGGGATATTTGCACAGGGAAATTAGTTCGAAGATTTCCATAGTGGCATTTGTAAAGAAAGTGTCTACTTGTTCCTTCTTCTTTTATTTCTTACAGCTTCTAATTTTTCTAATGAAGCGTGTATCCAAATTTTCTGTATAGATGTCTACTGACCTATCAAAATTGCCACCAGTTTTTCGATTTTAATATTAACTCCGTCCAGCAACATCTTAACTCAACAGTGTTCCACCTACTTTTCGGCCCCCTTACGGACTGGTTTTTTAGCATCTCTTAATAAGATCAGTACTTGTTTCTCAGCTTCATAGTCGATCTGGTTCATGTATTAATAGCACAACTTTTTAAATAGCTCCTATTTAACATTTATTACGAGTAGAAGTCAACTCAGTCGATATCGTACAATAGTCGGTAGCATGATAAATAAGAAGTTGAGCAGGACAACAATATCAAACGTTGTTAAAGGAATCAATGACATTTAAGATCTATAAAGGAAAAAGTAATGTCTTTCACATTTAATATATAACAATATATTATAGAATAAAGAGACTATAGTTTTTGTCCTTTGCCTTTTATTTTTAATACTGTAATAATATAAGTTTATTATTATTGTTTATTAATATAATTTATATTATTAGTTTTAATACATTTATATGAATATATTATATGTTTGACTTTTATATATCATATTACATATTATGTATGAATTAATGTAATTGTTTTAGTTTCTCCGGACAAAAAATAATTAATTTTTGTTTATTTGATTTTACTTAATAAATTAAAAATGATTTGTTTGAATCCAACATTAATATATATAAATTATAACAAACAGTATTAAAATTTATTAAAAATAACATGTTCCTGAATAATTGTAAAACATTTCATACATATATATATAGTTTCAATTTTATTTTTTTATATTTTTTAAATTTGCTATTATTTCAAAATAGTTCTTTCTTTTTTGTATATACTTTCCACTTTACTTTGACTATATTATATATACCTGTCAGATTTTTATATATATTTAAACTCATTGTATTTGTTTTTTTATATATTTTAAATATATTCAAACAATTTTTACTTTTATTAGTATGTATATATTCATATAAATATATATATTTATATATATGTATATATGTACACGTGTATTTATGCGCATATATAAATATATATCTACATATATAATTAAATACATATATGTACTTACATTATTACATTTAGTTAAATAGAATTTTGTATTTCATTTAATATATATCAATATATATATGTCTGTATATATATATTTAAGTATTTTTCTCTAAAATATATATTTTTTCCACTAGCATTTTCAAATTTTTCTTTCCACATTATTTATTTTTTTATATTTTGTTTTATTTTTTATTTATTGAATTTTATTAAGTAATTTTTATTTTCATATATATTTGAGAATTTTATTTTTTTTCCTCAGTATTCATTTTAAATTTTTATAATTTCAAAATAAATATTTAAAATTATCTTCTCTTTTTTTCGCCTTTTGTACTAAACTATTTTTAAATATAAATGCTTTTTAATTTTTATACGAATAAAAGAAAAAATAATTTTAATTTTTATTTAATTATTTTTATAAATTAAATTTTCAGTTTTTTTATTT